TGCGCCATCCCTACTCCGCGAAGACCGTAGCTGAGGTCTATGTTAAGGAAGTCGTCAAGCTTCATGGATTTCCCGAAACGATGGTTTCAGATCGGGATAAGGTATTTGTGAGCAGCTTCTGGACCACTTTGTTCACATCTCAGGGAACCGATCTTCGAAGAAGCTCAGCTTACCATCCTCAGACGGACGGGCAAACTGAGGTGGTGAACCGATGCTTAGAGACTTACCTTAGGTGCTTTGCCAACGCCAAGCCGAAGTCGTGGAGTCAATGGTTGCACTGGGCCGAGCTGTGGTATAATACTTCTCACCACTCCTCTTCCAACATGACTCCATTTCGTGCTCTTTATGGCAGGGATCCTCCCAGACTATTAAGGTACAAAGACACCCCTTCCCTGAACAGCGAGGTCGATGAGATGTTGGTAGATAGAGATGAGACGATTACTGAGCTGAGGAGAAACTTGGAGAAAGCTCAGCTACAGATGCAGAGGTCGGCCAATATAAAGAGAAGGGACGTTGAGTTTAAGGTAGGAGACAAGGTTTACTTGAAACTCAGACCCTACAGGCAGAGCTCAGTGGCGTTGAGGAAGAACGAGAAGCTGGCTCCCCGATTCTTCGGACCATACCCAGTGGTAAACAGGATTGGAAAGATGGCGTACAAGCTCCAGCTGCCTCCATGAAGTGCCATTCACCCGGTGTTTCATGTGTCACAGTTGAAACTGGCGATCTCACCAGGTGAACAAGCTCAACCTTTACCACCGATTCTCACAGCTGAGTTTGAGTAGAACACTGAGCCTGAGGACATTCTGGCCATACGCAAATCGCCGGCGGGTGGTGAGCCTGAGCTAATGGTTAAATGGAAGGGTCTTCCCAATCATGAGAACACGTGGGAGCCATTGAACCGCATTGCTACCCAGTACCCTAACTTTCAGCTTGAGGACAAGCTGATTCTTCTGCGAGGGAGTACTGATAAGCTGGCTTTTCCCCTAGCTTACTGTAAGAAGAAGAAACGGAGTGGCAGAGTTTCGAGGAAGAAGGAAGGAGCTAAAAGTGGCTGAGAGTAACGGTCAAGAAGAGAAGTTCAATCCCTCCCGCTGAATCCGAGGGTCTACTAATTTAAATAAGTATTCAGATTAGCTCTTTTGTTAAACTGTGTCGTTTCCTTTCTATTCTAGTTTGTCGTAATGCGAAGGAACAGTGTATTTAATGCCTCCCATGTTTAGGGTTGGCCGCATCTTATGAAAATATAATATTCATCAACACTTGTGTTGTCCATTTTCTCGTGTTGTCACTGGCTTCCCGAGATCCGATAAGTCACAGGCTTATCATTGAGTTGCATACAATAAGAATTATTATAAGAATACAGATGAAGTGAATGGGCTTACCAGCAACGATAATCGAATTGAAATCTAGAACGGGAAATCTAATAGGATAAATGAGAGTGCGTTGTGAATAATGACCAGTAAGAGATTATCTGGGTGAAACTCCATTAAGATTGAGGGAGAGTATTAGAGAGTTTAGAAGCCGCCATTGTTTTTGGGTTTAAGATTCAGATTGGGTGATTCAGTGGAGAAGCTTATGATTATTTAAATTCGTCAACGGTCTGTCAGAGAAGAAGAAGAGGAGAGGATAAGCTGCGTCTGTTTTATTTTAATCTCGAAACGTTTGTAAGAAAAATGAGAGGAGACGATGATAATTAAAGACAAATTTACAGTATCACTTTCACTTTCTGAGTTTAGTTTATACAAAATATCATTTTCTGTTACTATAACATTTATTCAGTTTTTATATTGAATAGATTCTTAACTCCATTTGGTGTTATCAAATTAAAACATTTTCATAACCTAATTGTTGGGTTTAGCTAAAAACAAAAACCACTTAACAAATTGAACTAACTGAACTGTAATAAATTGAGTACTCTGAAAAAGCTTAATAAACCATTATCTCCTCTATTCTTTTATAAATATATATCGCCGGCGGTATATCGTCCACCGTGATCTTCTTAATTTATCTTGATCCTCGTTAATATCTCTACCATTTTGATTCCAATATTTTCTTAGATTATCTGTTTCCACTAATTAAGAAGTCAGAGCTGTATCGGGTCTGTTTTCGATAGCTGCTGCGAGGAACACCGAGCTGTATCTATCGTCCCAATTGTTAATCGGGTACGCCGAACTGCAACTTCCGATTACAGATTTTAATCATATCGGCGTACTTCAAATTCCTATTTAAATAATTTCTGTAAAGACTGATCCATCTATATTCATCTATTTATCATCTACCTTCGATTAGATATATCATTAGTCTATGAGATTACTCAGCCACGTTTGAAACTCACCGATCAAACAAAATTATCCTTTTCGTACAGTTAGATCAATCGTCAGACCCCTGGATACATCCATATATCTGAAGTCTCGTGTACAACTTTGTTTAGCTGCTTCTCGTGTACAACTGCATACCATATAATCCATAGGAAATTATCCATTTATACCCTTTGTTTACTTGCTTCTTCTTCCAGCTTTTACCCAGTCAAACATACTCAATATCCACGGCTATGTAGGCATCCATATATACGCTTCCATATATACCGATCCAGATATCCATATAAATATATATATTCTCATTATATATATATATATTCTCATATTTCATATATTAATACATATACACGTATCCATATATACACATCCATATAGGATAAGCACTTAGGGTTCATGTGTGTCTATATGCACGCATCCATATATACATCTCCATATAGCCTACATTACATAGGTTCCATACGACTCCACATGCACGCATCCACATATATACATATCTTCAAATTTTTTATTTATACAAATGTTACTTCGACAACCAGGGATTTAAGTGTGTTGACGAAAAGTCGGGTTACACGAAAAGTCACAAACGAAAGGTCATAAAGTTTCAACACACCGGTGAAGGGTTGGGGTTTTTATTTAGATAGGTGTCAACATTCCTCTTTTCCACACATTAGATGATGGGTAGAAAAACCAGTTTCTGTGATTTGTGCCCGGAGATCAAAGGCGAAATTCTGAAGAAGTGTTTCTGTAACTCCATCTACGACTTCATTTCGGCAAAGGTGGCTCATAAAGAATTCAATGATATCTCCAAAGACCGAGGATTCCTTAAGACCATAGATTTGGTTATCGATCCAGCAAAATGGGGGTGGCCTAATCCGTGGACGAGAACCTACTTTGACCAGTGTTTGGAGGTAGGTAACCCATCTGCACTTCTTGTAAAAGGCCTTTCTCTAGGTTTTCATGATGGTAATTTTGATGAGGGCATGATTTTGATTAATAAGTCCGCGAGTGCTGGATACGAACTCGCTCAATATTGTCAAATTATGCTGTCTCATCTTATTTTCGGAACCAAGCTAGATATGCCTTAAAGTAGGTTTGCATCTTGGGGAATTTTGAGGAAACTTGTCTTTAGGGATGGAGGGTGGTTCCCACCAACAATTTATAAAGAAAAGGCCGCCCTTGTTATGGAAAAGGCTAGGTCCTTGCATTGCGGTAATGATATCTTCCACCCTCAGATGCACGCCGTTGACATGTTGCATATTGGAGAGGAGCCATATTTTGGGCCTCCGCTGTGGGGGTATGAAGATCTAGTGGAGTATAAGAAGCCACCGGTGTTGTGCGACGACTGTTACTGGGCAGTTGAGGCGGCAATATTCGCAAAGCGGATTTTACATTTTGCGCAGCCGTGGCTAATTAATATTTCAGGTCTCTAGTGTTTTTATGCCATTGCCTAATGCAGTGTATTAACGTAGTTACATTAGCCAGTGTATTAACGTTGTTGTTTATGTATTGCATCCATTGCATTTGTTTATTACTTTTAATCAAATATGTTAACTTTTTCATTCTTAACCAACAAAATTAATTTCATAATGCAGTGTATCAAATTTATTACATTTTATAATGCAGTGTTTCACACTCTCTTAATTCTTAACCAACAAAATTAATTTCGCACCAATCATACTAATTGCTATATTTGTTACTATTACAGCTCGAATCACCGTTTTTACAATATATATATATATATATATATATATTGTTTCTGTCAAATATAAGTTTAAATCAAATGTTTTCATTCTTCGTGTACTGATTCACATCGTGTGAACATCCACATTTCCCATCTAGGATTCAAATCAAATGTTCTCATGTTCTTGTGCTCCCATCCACATAATGGTAAGTCCCATACATCCAAATTGTATGTTCGCGTCCACATTTATTTCATATCCTTTTTTCCATTTAAAACGTAATGTACGCGGCAATATGGATATACTTATCGCAATATGGATATACTACATTTTATCCTGTTACACTAATTTAATTCAATCTTCGGTTTCCTACTATCATGTACATATCCACATCGTGTAAACATCCACCTTCCAAATCTATGTTTCAATCAATTGTTTTACTTTTTATTGTACACATCTACTCCATGTTCGCCAATCGTATGTATCCGGGACTGTGGATATAGACATTTTGCAGTTTTTTTTAAAAAAAAATTTCAACACACAAATTTCCACACAATTGAACAATTAAATGCTGTGTACCCGGATGTGAGTAAATACTTGTACGTTTTACTATAGTAATATTTTCACATTTATATTTTTGTTGTCACATTTACGTGGGGTTAGCTGTTTCCGTTACATGCAATGGCTAAATGTATTCCATGGGACAACATATAAATCTCAAAACAATTCGAATTCTCATTTCACTAAGACATCCATTTAATATTTCCAATATTACAAGAATATTTTTTTCGTTTTCTGGATCAGCATCGTAGACTTTTTGACCATAGTCATTAATACCGAACGTTGCAACGTAATTAATGATGTAAATGATGCATTAAGAGGCACGTCTTTTCAACGGGAATAGAAGCATTAAGAGGGCAGTTGGCAACTCAATAGGTGCCTACACGGTTACTCGTCTATATAACCATCATTGCTTTGTAGAATACTTCAAACACCACAAAAAATGGCGAATTCCTTTGATATAAGTTCTCTTCCTTCAGATATGCTGTTCCAGATACTCATGCAGACCACAAATATTTCGTTTGCAGATTTGTGCATAGCCCGTGTAGCAATCCGGCAAATGAATGAAATTTCAAGGGAAGTAGGTTTTTACAAGAGCGTGGATCTCATCTCTCTGCATGTCCCATTCCGTATCGATGAGAATGGAAATGTTGCCTCGTTCTACACACGTTGCCTCGAATCAGGTAATCCCACGGCATCCTATCTTAGGGGGATTTTATTTTTCTTTCATGAAAACAATGTCCACGAAGGCCTTTGGCTTATCAAAGATGTGGTTGACCATGATTGCTTGATGGGGAAATATGTTTACCGTATGTTGCATCTTACTCTTGATGGGAGAGTCGAGGAATTCGAGCGTATTCAACGGAAAAAAATGCGTGAAGCTCTGGAAGCCAATCAAAGGAGACCTTGGAGCATTCAAATCCCAGAGGTGTTTCACAGGCAACGTGCTTGGGTGCTTCAGGAATCGGACAAAAGGAAGTGTGGCTGCCCAAGCATATCCGAGAATATATGGCCACTCACGGATGATGATATTGATCATCTCTGCCATTCTTGCTTTTGGAAACATGAAACGCTGCATTTCTGCGATTTAATCTCCGCAAAGCAATGAAATGGCCTGCACTCTTCCTGATCGGAAATGGGCAACAGTGATGTAATGAAATTGATTACTATGTTATAGGCAGTTCTCTTTGCTGTTTTAAACTATGATGGCAGAAATGTTATATGATAAAGTTGATCAGATATTCAATAATTTGCATTAATGCATTTCTTTCTTTTCTAATATTATCTTCCTCATTACTTGTTATCAATCTAAAATAGTTACACACATTTACATTACACCGTTACCTATATCTTAATCAAAACATCATTTCTCGTTTTGTTGCTGACCAGCTTACGCGTGGCATTTCAGTAACACTTTGTCCACCATCATGCGTGTGATGTGCTCAGGTTTTAACCCTAGTTATCTGCAAGCGCACAGATGTACATTGTAGTACTTAGGGGTCGATCCACTGAAGACCAAGTAACTGCAATACGAGTTTACTTGAGATGAGATCTGAGCTAAGATGAAAATATGGGTGTTTGTTCTAGGGTTGTGAACAGTGACGAAAATAGAAAATAATAAACTTAAAAACTAGTAAACAATAAGATCAAATCAATACGAGAAGGTGTTGGGTGTTAGGGAATTCGCCGGGAATCATAGACTAGCTAACAAGAGAATTAAACATAGAGTTTTCTATAGATATGTTCCTAAAATCAAACCAAGACTAGTGTACTCACGTAGTATTAATCACAAATCCATTCACTCAGATTTACTAAACTCCCATTCAGTTCTCCAAGTGGCTAGACACATTATTTTGATAATTTCACAAAACACGTTAGATCGACTCATGCCGTCTAAGAGAATTTGTTCATCTAAATAGGGTTAATCGATTCAACAATACTTTCGGTGAGTAAATCAACCTAATCGCAGTAGCTAGATGATCGATCCAAGCCACATAAATGAAACGCAAATTTAGATGAAGAACTCTAAAGATAAACCCTAATCTAACAAACCAGAAATCAATCCATGAATTCTTTTGAAAAATCCCTTAAAACCCAACAAAGGGAATTACTCAATCATAGTGAATAAAAACATCACAGAAGTATTGTAGTTTGCTGGAAATTAAATAAGAGAAAGATAAAGAACGAAGAACGAGGATGAAGATGGAGATCGATGGTGGCTCTTTCGGCGACTCCTTCTTCTCCCGAAGACGGCAACTCCGAGGCGTGCGGCTCTTCTCTGCTCTCTCTCCACGACTTGGTCATTAGAATGACCTAAAACGACTATATATAGCCTTCTAATTCGTTGGAAACGTCTAGGGTTTGAAGAATGAGTAGTGGGCTGGACTTGGGTTTGAATTAGGTCACTTTCGGACGTCAACGTTGTCTGGCGCTGTCGCGGTAGTCCTGACCGCGGGGAATCATGGTCTGGCCGCGGTCGCGGCCTATGTTCTCCTTCAAGACTACATTTTCTGTCTTTAGTGCATCGGGAATATCTAAAGATCTAACCATTGGATTGTCTCCAAAACAATTTCATTAGAAAGCTGGTTGTCTCTTATATGTTGTCTCAAATTTTGGGGATGATCAGACGGTGAAAAGGTCTCCATCAAGTACCATACTTCTAAGAGTTTGCATTTATCCAAAATTGCTCATTTGTTCCAAATTGCACATCTTTAGTCCAAGTTTCCTGAAAAGTCTTTTAAAACTCTAAAACATAGAAATCACTTAATGGAATCATTGAAAACAGAGTTAAAACACCTGCATAAGATATTAAAACGATCCATAAAAATGGTCAAAATCCGGTGTTATCAACTCCCCCAGACTTAAACTTTTGTTTGTCCTCAAACAAAACAGAGATCAAGCCAGGAAAAGAATCCTTAAAAATCCGCAGGAACTAAACAATATCTCAGTGACCGTCCTTCTAAACCATAAGCTATCGTAAAACATCTATCTGGATCTAGTTTAGAAAATTCTCACCAAATTACAAACTCAACTAGTCTGTTGATCCGTCATGCGAAAATCTACACACTTAGATCTAACTTCCAGTAAACTAGCTCTTTACATTCATTAAGTGCACAGTGAATTCTCATTAAAAACATTATTCAGGGTAGACGGCGTAGAAGCACACTGGTCTAAATCATCATAGTATTGTTTATTTATGTTCCTGGTTTGAAAACGTTTTGAAAATTTTTTGAAAATTTTTTGAATAATTTTTTTTGTCCAAAACAAACTCAAAACAAATCAAATTTCGTTAGTAACGGATGAACATCCTCCCCCAAACTGATTTCACACTGTCCTCAGTGTGATAAAATCTAAGAAAGGATGGATAAGGAAATAGAAATTTGAAGTGTTTAGATGTACTTACCTTGCCGGAGGAATGAGTCGCGGTTGGAAGGATGGCACCGCAGGTCGAAGTTTCAATGGGCTAGAGTGATGGCTGTTTTACGGTTTATGATTTCTGCTCATCTTTTATTCGTTCTTCTTTGTAAAAACCTGAAATTAAATGAAACAAAAACAAAGCAACGAAATAGAAAATAAAGATCAAAGGGAAATAAGTAAAATACCGAGTGGGTTGCGTCCCACTAAGCGCTTGTTTTAAGTCGTTAGCTTGACTTGGTCGTCTTTTAGGCATTACGCGCATCTGCTAAGGAGATCGGATCTTCCTTTTCTTCTTGAATGTCTGCAAGATATGGCTTAAGACGTTGTCCAGTGACAGTGAAATCACCTCCTTGACGGTTCCATAGAACCACAGCACCATAGGGTAAAACTTCTTTGATTTTGAAAGGTACAGACCATCGTGATTTAAGCTTCCCGGGAAACAATTTTAGACGTGAGTTATAAAGTAGAACCTGGTCATTAGGTGAGAACGTCTTAGGAACCATTTTCCTGTCATGAAACACCTTAGTCTTCTCTTTGTAGATCTTGGAGTTCTCATATGCATTTTGGCGAATCTCGTCTAACTCATTTGGCTGAATCAAACGTTTTGCACCTGCTGTCTGGATGTCGTAATTCAGCTTTCTTATTGCCCATTCTGCCCTGAGCTCTAACTCCCATGGAAGATGACAAGCCTTACCATAAACGAGATGAAAAGGTGTAGTGCCCAATGGGGTTTTGAACGCAGTTCTATATGTCCAAATAGCATCATCAAGCTTTGCTGACCAATCTTTTCTTGTTGGTCCTATTGTATTTTTCAGAATTCTTTTGAGTTCTCTGTTTGATACCTCCACTTGGCCACTCGTATGTGGGTGATAAGGTGTAGCTACCTTATGTTTCACTCCATTTTTCTTCAAGAGATTCTCAAACACTTTGTTGATGAAGTGAGAACTACCATCACTGATGACGAGTCGCGGAACACCAAATCTTGGAAATATGATCGACTTGAACATCTTCATTACTACTTTTGCGTCATTTGTGGGGCTGGCAATGGCTTCTACCCACTTAGACACGTAGTCAACAGCAACAAGGATGTACTTGTTTCCAAAAGACGAAGGAAAAGGACCCATAACGTCGATTCCCCAAACATCAAAAACTTCGACTTCTTGAATGAAGTTTTGTGGCATCTCATGTCGCTTGCTGATGTTTCCTTGTCTTTGGCAAGCATCACACTTAGATACAAATTTATGGGCGTCCTTGAACATGGTAGGCCACCAATAACCAGCTTGTAAAACCTTCGCTACAGTCTTATCAGTAGCGAAGTGTCCAGCATAGTTAGACCCTTGACAATGAAAAATGATTTTTGGAACTTCTTTTTCAGAGATGCACCTGCGAAACAAGTTATCTGCACACTGCTTATAAAGATATGGTTCATCCCAAAAGTACCTTCTAATATCACGCAAGAACTTCTTTTTGTTGTAGCCGAAGAATCGTGGCGGTTGAACCTCTGCTGCTAGGCACTACAGGAAATACGAGTTTTAATAGCACACGAGTATAGCGTTTATTTGAATTGTGCTATCATTTTGTATTTGTTTTTTTTGTAATAGCGGTAAACATGCGTGACCGCTATAATACGTGTGATATTGAAATTCGCGGAATAGTTTTTTGTAAAATAATTTGTTTTCATAGCAGACGTGTACTTCAAACGCTGTAATATCTTATGGCGGAAAATTTTTTTTCGATTCCCTCCATACTTAGAAAATTTTTAGTGAGGAAATACTGATTTTTTCCCCTTTTCGATTTCCCCATCCACTTTGACTCTTTCTATCAAATAGCTTTTCGATCTGCTAGAAACCCAGAAATCGTTAACAATCAACGATTTGAAACCCATTGATTCTCCGATTTCAAACTTAGAAACTCTTAATCTCTTAATTTCCTGCCAATTTCATTATCTGTTCTTATACTTTGCTTCATCACTTGAGACCCAGAAACATTCTCCAATTATTGAAATCTTCGAGTTTGAAATCTGTAAACCTTCTCCAATTCCGATAGACTTCCGATTTCCAAAGCGTACCGTCGACGATTGCGACTAACTCTTGCAGTCGAAGAATCACATTCTCATCTTGAAAAACCTGTTCGATTTGAAGGTACTAACTTTGATATATCTGTGCATGTTAGTCCGTTGGATTTGAGTTGTTATATTATAATATGAGTTTAGATCTGATCTATTACGCAGGAAAGAATTGTTATTGTAAGGATTTCTTCAGGGGAAGGTAATTTTTAGGCTTGATGGTTTCAGTAATTCGCGAGTTATCTTATTGTTTGTTTTAGTTTAACTGATTGATCATTTTTCTTATCTTTTGCAGTTGGAGCCCATCAAACGAGGAAGGAAAAAAAACTTTAAAGGTATAGCAACGACTGAGATTTGATTCTCTCTTGAGTTGTTTAAATGTCTTTGTGAAGTTGATTAAGTGATTGTGTGGTAAATTTGTGTGTATATTTCGTTGGAGCTGTGGATTCAGTCTGGTACCATGGATAAGGCTTGGGTATGGTTACCAAGGTATGAATTTGTTTCTGTCTAGTTTTGTATACTTAATTGCATACTTCTTTTTGTATCTTTCCATTGAGTTTGTGAATATTAATCTTGGTAATGATCTTGCCTTATAGGGCTAGCCTTGAATACGAGCAAGGTGCTAC